AAAGTGTGCAAGACCTCAACCCCTCCAACACCAGCTTGGTGGGGTTCTCAGGAACGAAGGTTCGCGTCCTTGGGTCAATCACTCTCAAAGTCACCATAGGCGAGGGCGGGATTACCAAAACCAAGTCGGCGGAGTTCCATGTAGTCGACTGTCCCTCGGCGTACAATGCAATCCTTGGTCGCGGTTTCCTAGCTTCATTCGAAGCAGTCGCATCCACCTGCCACCAAATGCTGAAGTTCACTAGTGGGGGACAGACGGGACGCGTTCGAGGCAATCTTAAGGAAGCAAAGGAATGCTACCAAGCCACCATAGTGCGTCTCGAAGTCGACCTAGTCGATGCGAGGGTCGAGGTACCCCGACCCGAAGCCGTCGAGGGGGATATAGCGGTTCCCTTGAATGAAGAGCAACCAAACAAGACGGTTCGCATTTCTGCCCACTTAGCCGAAAAGGAGGCCCGAAAGCTCCTCATGCTCCTCAGAGAATACCAAGACCTCTTCGCATACGGTCCCGAGGACATGCCCGACCTCCCTTGCAGGGTCTCCGAGCATCGCCTCTCGATTAAACCCAAGGCGCGACCAATACAAGAACGGAGAAGACACTTATCGGTGGAAAAGCAGTTAGCCCTGGAAGAAGAAGTTCGAAAGCTGCTCAACATCGGGTTCATCAGAGAGGTAAAATACCTCACTAGGCTCTCAAACCCGGTCTTCGTACGCAAAGCAGGGGGCACCTGGCGAATGTGCATTGACTTCACTAGTTTGAACGCTGCGTGCCCCAAGGACGCATACCCCCTCCCCCGCATCGACCAACTGATCGATGAAACCGCCAATCATGAGGCGCTCAGCTTCTTAGACATGTTCTCGGGGTACCATCAAATCAAGATGGCGGAGAGCGACCAAGAGTCTACTGCTTTCATGACACCAATGGTAACTTCTGCTATGTGGTCATGCCCTTTGGACTCAAGAATGCTGGAGCAACCTATCAACGGATGGTCGATGCGGTCTTCTTCGACCAAATGGGAAGGAACATGGAAGCGTATGTCGATGACGTTCTAGTCAAGAGCAAGAAAGACGGCGACCATCTTTCTGACCTACGAGAGACTTTCGAGACTCTAAGGCGGAAGAACTTGAGACTCAATCCGCTCAAATGTGTATTCGGAGCCGAAGCGGGAAAGTTTCTTGGCTTCATGATAACGAAGCGGGGGATAGAAGACAATCCGAAACAAATAGAGGCCATACGCAATTTGAAGCTCCCAAAGACAATCAAAGAAATCCAGGCGTTCAATGGCAAGATGCCCGCATTAGGGAGGTTCATCCCGCGGTCCGCAGACAAATGCTCTCCTTTCTTTCAAATGCTGAAGAAGTCAGCCTCAAGACTCCAGTGGGGGGGGGGGCCGAATGCGACAAGGCCTTCACTCTGCTAACAAACCAGCTTGGTTCTCCACCCATCTTGAGCGCCCCCGTTAGCGGCGAAAGGCTTTATCTCTATCTGGTGGTGTCAGAACAAGCTGTGAGCTCGGCCTTAGTACGAATGGCCCCAGCCCCCAGACGGTTCCGATCAACCGGTTTACTACGTGAGCAAAGCGCTTCTACCCGCCGAAACGAGATACATATCGGTCGAAAAGGCGGTTCTAGCCGTTGCCTCCGCAGCCCGAAAACTAAGGCCATACTTCCAAGGGAATCCAATCACGGTGCTAACCAATCTTCCTCTCAAGTGTGTCATGCGGGGAATGGGCGCCTCAGGAAGATTGACCAAGTGGGCAGTCGAACTCAGCGAGTACGACAATGAGTACGCCCCGAGACCAACCATCAAGGGTCAAGTCTTGGCAGATTTCATCGCCGAAGGGTTCTCCATCGCCACCGATCCCTCCGAGGAGCGTAGCCAAATCTGGTGTCTTCACGTTGATGGGGCAGCAGGGAAAACCGCCTCAGGGGGCAGGTATAGTCATTGAATCACCGGATGGAGTCGTCCATGAGATATCCCTAAGGTTCAAAGACATCAAGACCAACAATGTCGCTGAGTATGAGGCTCTCATCAACGGGCTCAGGATACTCTCTAACTGGGCGCAACCGACGTCCACATCTTCTCCGACTCTCTCTTGATGGTACGGAAAGTACATGAGGCATTCGAGGTTAAAAATGAAGCGCTAACCGCCCTAGCTAGCAAAGTCAGGAGCTCCCTAGCAGAGTTGAGCTCCTGGAAGCTCGAGCATGTCAGACGTGATGATAATCAACATGCCGATGCGCTGTCCAAAATGGCGACTGCCATGGACTTCGAAGGAGACCGCCATGTCACGGTCACCAAAGAAGGAGACCTCCCTGAAGAAATCATGGTTATAGGGGACGCGTCGGACTGGAGGACGTCCCTGTTCCAGTACTTGGAACATGACATCGCCCCGCAACACCCAGGCGAGCGAAAAGCGCTTAAGCGGAAAGCAGCAAGATACACTATGGTGAATGGACAGCTGTGCAGAAGGTCGTTCTCAGGAACGTATTTGAAGTGCCTCGGACCAGAAGAGGCGAAGTGGACGCTCAAAGCGATACACGAGGGAACATGCGCCACGCATGCGGGTCCCAGGTCGCTTGAAAGAACAGTCCTTTTGCAAGGATACTATTGGCCAACGGTCAAGAGGGACGTTTCACACGTCGTCCAAAAATGTCATGCGTGTCAAGTCCACGCCTCCAAGCACCACCTGCCTAGTTCCGAACTGCAAAGCGTGGTGGGCCCTTGGCCATTCGTTAGATGGGGCCTCGACTTGTTGGGTCCGTTTCCCACAGCCCCACCAGGGAAGAAATACTTGGTGGTGGCAGTGGATTACTTCACCAAATGGATAGAGGCAGAACCGCTAGAAACGATCACGAGCGCCCGGGTCCAGAAGTTCGTGTTCAACAACATCATGATCCGCTTTGGCATCCCCTAGTCAATCATCACTGACCACGGCACACAATTCGATTGTAGACAGTTCAAGAACTTCTGTGCCAGAAACCGCATCACATACACAATGGCATCGGTGCCGTACCCACAGACAAACGGGCAAGCCGAGGCATCCAGCAAGCTGATCCTCAATGGACTGAAGAAGCGTCTGAAAGACGCTATAGAGGCATGGACAAGCGAACTCCCGCATGTCCTATGGGCGCATCGCACGACCTATAAAACCGCTACGGGTGAAACCCCATTTGCCCTGACTTACGGTTCCGATGCGGTCGCACCAGAAGAGCTCAACCTACCATCCCTCCGCGTCCAAGCGTATGATCCAGAAACCAATCACAAGAAGTTATTGGAACAACTAGACATGATGGAGTCCAGACGAGATGCGGCCCTGGAGCGCATCCTCAAAGAAAAAGTCAAGGTGGCCGCTTCCTATAACAAGAGGGTCAAACCGCGGTCCCTAGAGGAAGGAGACATGGTGCTCAAGCGAGACTTCCAGAGAAAAGACGAACATGGAAAACTCGCCGCCACATGGGAAGGCCCATTCCTCATTGGGGAAAAAACAGGTCCCAGCACCTTCAGACTTGCAACCATGGATGGCGACCCAGTCTCCAAGACTTGGAACGGGATGCATCTAAGGAAATAATACTCTGACGCGGTCTAAGTCATTTTGTGCTACAGTAGAGATATTTTGATGGTGCAGAAACATCTCACCACTTGTTATTATGTAAGGTTTGCTACCAAGCGACCACTTTTGCTCAAAGTTATTTTGGTGGTCAAGGAACACTCCTTTCACTTGTAACAGTGTATCGGTCTCTACCAAGTGACCACTCTTGCTTCTAAAGTAATACACTGATTTTCTCGGCCAAATTTTTTGTGCCATATAAACCGCACCCCACGAATGCATGTGGGAAGGATACACAACGAGCTTGTAAAATCTAACATTGACGAGACACTCAGTCAACATGCAACTTTCAGACACACAACGAGTAGTGTAAAAAATAAGTCACGACCCACTATCACATAATAGGTGGGAAGACGCATAACAATAAGAAGCGATAAACTCCCCGCGGGTAGACCATAAGCACTTGGCATAATTCTAGCTCACAGAAGAAGAAAGGACGCCGAGCAAACACCAATCATCCATTGTTTTAATGTCAACAGCGGAAAATTACAAAGGAAAATGAAACAACCGCTCACAAATTGCGGGAACCGCCATCACCTTCGGCATCGTCATTAGGAGAAGCCCCTTCTCCTCCCTCCTCCTCATTCTCGGAGTTCACATCCGCTTCCGACCATGCACCGATGGCATCCCAGATCTCGTTAGTACTCCAGACCGCCTCAGGTTGATCCATACGAAACCAATGTTGAATTGCGGCAACCGCATTACCGACTATGGTTTTGTACTTCTCGTTATCAAGTGCTTGGAACTCACCTGACTCCAAGTACGCCGGACCAGCTTCAGCACGAGCGGTCTCCAACTCCGCCTGATGGCTCTTCCGCGAAGCCTCTCTTTCCAACTTCAAAGATTCTATCTCCTTGCGCAGCGACTCCTGTTCTTCTAACAACAGCTTTTCCATCTCGCTGGACTTACTCACACGCTCCTGCAACTGGTCCCGCTCCTCCTGAGCCTTCTTGACCGCTTCCCTCTCCTAACTAAGTTCCTTGTCCTTAACAGCCAACCGCTCATCAAACTCCCGCTCCAGCAGTGGACGAACCTCCCCCATCAGCGCCTCCCTTCCCTCACTCGCATTCTTCTTTAGTTTGGCAATCTCCACGGCCTGGTCGTCAACGGTCTTTGACAGACGGTCGTTGTTCATGAGAATTTGAGAAAATCCAATCTGAGCCTAAAATCAACAAGATACAGAAATAAGTAAATAATTCTCCATAGTCATGAGATTAAGTGAAAGCAAACGCACCGCAAAGAAGAACTGAGTGGCGGTCCCGGCGAGACGCTTGTTGGTCCCACTCGATGAGGCTGTATACTTACGGGGCATGACTAGCTGGTCGCTGATGGTATGGAAGGCGAGTTCGGCCGCCTCACCATCAGTGGCCGCTTGAGGAGGCAGGTCAACCTAATTCTCCTTCACTAAAGGAGCAGCAGCCTTGCCTCGATCACCTGCCTTCGAACGCAGAGAACCTATCCTCGACCGCTTGGCAACACTGACGGGTACAGAGGTTTCCACTGGCCTCTTACCCGCACCACGGGAAACCGCACCAGGGGAGGCGGGCTTGGCTGCTGCTGCATTTGTCGAGGGACCCACTCCCCGTGGATCGTTCGCCTTCACCACTCCCCTTTTCTTCTTCGGCCTAACCGCATCCGCCAAGGCCCTCAATCCTGGAAGAAAAAAGCATAAGTAAACCCAAATGAGAAAATGGGAACAGTACAGCAAAGGACATATGCTACTAACCGTAAAAACTGCGAACACGTTCATACGCGCTCCCCAAACCGCCGGGGAACACACGCAACTGAAAACCATCGGTGAGGCGGTTCACGTGATCTCTCACCGCTGAAGGAAACTGGGTCGATGCACACCAGGAGTCTTTTGATCCCACCGCGTACCCCGTCGGAGGAGCGATCTCACCCGAGCACCACTGCCCCGGTGGATGGGCAAAAACGTACTCCCTATACCAAGGCGAGTCTAGCTTGGGCGATCCCGATACAAAGCCAACCGCGCTCTCCCGCCTACCGATTGACCAACAGTTAGTCGAATCTCGGATCTTATACAGTAGCCGGAACGCATCAAATGAAGGCGTCTCCTTCAGCCGGCTACGCGCATAGCGATACATGACGGAGTGGAAGATAATGGTGGGTGAAAGACGTCCAAGGGTGCATCCCAACCAGTTCAAAGTCTGGGTCAAGATGGGTTCCAAAGGGAACCGCAAGCCCAACTTCACGTGCTCCACAAAAATGGGGATCCAACCTTCAGGACACGACCCTGATTGGCATTCCTCAGAAGGAGCCGCATAATCCCACTCGGGAGGAAGTTCTAAGGCATTTAACCGATGAAGAACTTGTTCAGGTCCTAAGGCTGCCTCATACTTTGGTCCATATTCTAAAACCTCCGGGGGCACAAGCTGACCGCCCCACATGCACTCATGCCGCAAGATAGTGTACGTTGCGTCCGCGATCGCCAACCGCGACACATTCTCTTCCTCGTAGTCAACTACCTCCAGCGACGAGGAAGTAGTGGGAACCGCCTCGGAACGCACTCCGTCGCTACTAACCGCCTCCTCTTCACCCGAGGACCCACTATCTAAATCTATCTCCCCAAACTCACCCTAATTATCCCCAACCGCAGAAGAAGTTGCCATAACCCCAACTGGTACTGGGCGCGTGTTAGCAAAAAAAATATCTAAGCCCAAGGAGCCCCCAAAAATACAATCGTCTAATTCCGAACCGCTCCCGAAGTACAAGTCCAGACCAAATAGGTCAAACGCGCATTCGGGAACGCTTCGAGCGGGAGGAGAGCAAATCGTACCTTGTGTAACAGGGGTCGCACCCTCGGTGGACGCTGCCGGTTTTTTCCCAAGTGCGACAGAGGATGGTGGCGCGGCAGGTCCCAGAGGCCTCTCTCCAGGAGTAAGCAAAGAAAGGGGCGCGGCTACCGAGGCAACGGCGGAGGGAAGATCAACCATCGCGGTAGACCCACCATCAAGGGTTCCGGCGGCGGAAGCTCCTCGGCTCAGTTCGTCGACCGGCGAATAGCGATCCTCCATCGACATCTGCAAAAATCAGAGAAGGAGCGACGAGGTCCGACGCGCAACAGAAGGCAGCGTCTCGACAGTGCACACAAAGTAAAAAGAAACAGAAGGGATAGCACCCCGTAAACCACGAGAAAGCAACACTTACCGGAGCACATACCCGATTTTATAGCATAGCTCGCTGGGAAACTAGAGCTTCAAAGTTGCGTCACAAGGAGGAAGAGGGAAGAAGACAAGAGTTTCTTGCAAACGGAAACGAGAATGGCAGGCAAAAGTGTTCTCAACACCACTTATAGTAAAACCCGGAGCCCAAGATGTCAGAGGTGACGTTCGGATTGCCTCTGACAACGCACCACGCCCGAGGCAGGCCACGTGGCGACGTGGGGGTCGAGGGCAGGCCCTGCGTGCTCTGACTGCCCCACAGTCGTTACCCGCTTTAGCTCACCGCGACAAGGGGAAAGTTGGTAACCATGGACCGCATATCACCTAAACGCTCCAGGAGAGTAGGAGAATAGCCGCAACAACCTAATGCTTCTCACGACTAAGGGGCAAACGTTGGGCCAAGTATTAACATACGTGGGCCTGAGGCCCATGGTTACAAAGCCCATAGTAAGTTAAGCCAAGCTAGGGCGGTCTGTCCCACTCTTATCCTCGGTGACCGCCCGACACTGACGTACACACTTGTCAGTAAAACGCCCGACAGAAAGACTAAAGCTACGCTGAACTGAGAAAGTCAGACAATCGTACTGACATAGCATTTAATGAGTTCAGAGGCGTCCCAGGCCGCCTGACACAACATTATTGTCTCAATCCCGAGTCCAAGTTAGTATAAATAGCCCCAATGGGGCAGCATTTATGGTAACTCCTATCTACTCTATTCTCTCTCTAATCCACTTTACAACCACTTCTCTCTCTAACTTAGGCATCGGATGAGGTCCCAGAACACCCCCTGTGGACCTTTCTTGCAGGACTTCGAAGACCGCCGTTCATCTACGAAGGACCGCACGAAGTCAGTGAAGTCTCACAAAACCGCCCGGTACGAACCAGGCCTAAACACGTCCAAACAATGAACCGGACCACTATCGTATCAGGTTTGACGGTTCTACTGGTCCATCCGTTGATCCGGTTTTGTTCTTATAACAATGCTAAAATGAGGAGCAAAATCGAAACCCTAAATCAATCTCCTTCTCTTCCCTCAGCGACCGGCGACCGCCTATTGTCGTCCCGAACTCACAACTGCTTCGACCAGGTCACCGGAGGGTTAGGAGATCTGGGCTGCGTTGACGGCTCCTCAAAATTATGTTAGTTATACAGCCACAAATTAGAGGCAAATATTGTACCTGAATCAAAGAGATGAACCAATTTCGTGGGATGCATTATCAAACTGTTTCCAGTCTCTACCTTCCATTACCTATGTACACTTTCATCTTTGCTACCCTTTTTCCCCCCAGCCGAAACAAGTCTCTCTATCTCTTTCGGGTACATGTGCATGAATGCAAATTGTAAGTATATACAAACAAGCAATAAACCCTAAAAAGGAATATGAACAAGGAAGAAGAAGAATAAGAAGAAAAGAAGATGAAGAAGAAATACTATAACGAACGAAGGAATCAACCGGTAACGAACATGTCGACTATCTCATCCAGCTGCTTCAAGACTGGCGAAGGCTCACTACTTCTGGTAGTGAGTTTTACAGAAGAAACAGAACCTAAGACTCCTAACCGAAGTCTTTAACAGTGAGCATAGTCCCCGAAGAAGCATCTGCTCTTACATGTAAGAAACCTCCCTTCCATGAGTTCTTAAAATTGACAAAGGATGGTTGCCCACTGGCAAATTGCTGATGACTTGCTTGTTCATCGACAGTCTCTCGTTCATGGTCCTTGTGACTTGAAGGATTGGCAGTGCATCAAATCTTCTAGCAGCAGGCTTTTTAGGAGTTTGTGGTTTATCCTGTAGAAACACAAGTGGGATAATTAGCAGCAGCTCTTCGGCTCATGACACTTCTTACCGGATAGGGGGTGGTTCCGATTAACCGAACTCGAAAACCAAACATTGTGAGTAGCTCATTCAAAACCATTACCAAACCAAAAACCAGTTATCCTAATGGTTAACCAGAAAAGCGAAACGAATGCAATGGAAACGAACAAACGAAAAAAAAACTGATCCAATATTGTAAACATGGAAACCAGTAATATGAAAGCTAAAATTGCTCAAAGACCATCTATCTGGTTCGGTTTTTCTGGTAAAAAAACGGTTAACCACCACAGCTCCCCAAGTTTGTTTAAATGAGAAGCTAGGCTCCAAAAAACTGAAGCAATAATGTCAACATGAAACCAGTAATTTGAGAGCTAAAATTGCTCAAAGACCATCTATCTGGTTCGGTTTTCTGGTAAAAAACGATTAACCACCACAACTCCCCACGTTTGTTTAAATGAGAAGCTAGGCTCCAATGATACTTGCCATAGGGATTGTGAAAGAGGGAGCCGGAGAGCTGGTTTTCCCATTAAGATCACTTGAATGACCTGTCACAAAAGGGTGTTCGAGCAGGGCATGAGCGGTTGGCCTGTCAGCCGGGTTTCTACGAAAGCAGCTCAAAAGGAAATCTTTTCCCTCCGCAGACAGAGCTTCTGGTATTGGCGGAGATTTGTTTAGCACCTTGAACATTGCCTGAGGCTGAAACAAGAAGAGATAGAGAATCAGGCATACATCAACATCATACACCTGAGAGGATGAGATCTCTTTATGCAACGAGCCAACAGGGGCAGATAAAATTTCTCTAGCTACGGGATTACTTACCCCTTGAAGTTCACCCCAAGGAGGTTTACCGGTGAACATCTCAATTACAGTACACCCCAAGCTCCATATATCAACTGCAAACGCAAGATCAGGACAACCATCTTTCTGCATCACAGCTTGTATGACCTGTAACAAGAAATATAAAAAACACTTCAGCAAGAAAAGAAAGTGACATTCTAATTCTAACACACACAAAAGTAACAGTTGGCCACAAAAAGGAAGTAGGAAACATAGAATGGAGGTGGATTAGTACCTCTGGGGCCATCCAATGGGGAGTGCCCTTCAGTGACAACTGATATGAGATGCCTGCAAGCTGAAAGGAACTAGTTTAAGAACACGCAACATAGAAAATGAAAGAAACAATAACATTTGATTATCAAGAGGCTCACATGTTTTGCCATCCCAAAATCCGCAAGCTTAACAGTGCCTGATGCATCAACTAGCAAATTTGCACCTTTGATATCCCTGCACACAATCACCCTATGAGTTACAGATGCTAACTGCAAATTGAGTAGGAAAACAATCATGCTACGAAACTCTACTCACCTGTGGATAGTCTTTGTCCCATGTAAGAAAGCCAATCCAGATAGAATATGACGGGTGAAGTTGCGGACTATAGATTCTGTAATGTCTCCACAATGTTCCTGGAGATATTTGCTGATCGACCCAGGATAAACATACTCTAGATATATGTTGAAGTGATCATCAACCTGAAAACCACCAAGCAATCTCCTATGAATCTAGGACTTTCATAACCTCTGAAGAAGTCAAATGGAAACAACATAGCACGAGCTGAAAGGACACTTACCGTCTCACTGCCCAAATACTGTACTATGTTTGGATGCTTCAGATGACGAAGAACTTTAATTTCCTGCAGCAAGCAGCAGAAAATCAGAAATTGATGAAATGCAATTCAATCAATGACAGTTTCCCTCGTAGTTTAGATGGTTAGCCAAACGATCACTATCATTCAAAGAAAAGCAGGCCATGTTCTGCCATCCAAACTCCAAACAAACTCCGAAGAGATGGCATTACCATTTACCATAGAGGAATGGGAAACATAGCCTCAAGGTGAAGGCAACGATACTCATCACTAAGCCATGCTTAGACCTCAAGTGTTATGAACAAATTATGCAAGGTAAGGAGTTCCAGGAACAAACCTGCTCTAACTGTTTTACACATTCTGCAGACTTGGGATCATCAGGAATAATATCAACTTCCTTAATTGCACACAGAGCTCCAGTCTCCCTGTAAAACATATCAACGACCATTAACTCCCACTGCCTAAATAAGAAGTCAAGACACGAGATTGAGAAGGCCAAGTATATTTCAAACCTGTTAGTTCCCACATAAACACTTCCATATGTGCCACGACCAATAAGCTTTCCTTTCTGCCATTGTTTCCTTCTCAGTGGAGTAGGCACTTTTTCAAGTGTAGGACGCGGAGACCTACACGGTGATGGATTATACGAGTGCGTTGGAGATGCAACAATCAAAGGAGGTGGCAAGGGCAACGGGCAAGGATTGAGCTGATTGATGCTGCCTTCAGACGTTTGGTGCCATGGAACTGGTGGCTTGGTAGGACTTCTTGGGTTAGGGAACGATTTCTGTAATGTTGGGCTAGGAAGTGGGGAAACATCAGGGCTGGATTGCGCACGCTTCACCAATGACGATGGTGAGATTATACCAGTTAGCCTGAACTCTGGAACCTCGAAATCGGAATGGAAATGGACGTCGTCAGGACACGGCAAACAATTTTCAGGCTTTGTTGACCTCTGTGGACTGGTGGGTTGACTAGAGCAACTGCTCTGTGGGGAATGAACCGAACCAGACTTGCAGGAAAGGCAGATCTTCAGATCCTTGGGTAGCTCCCTCCGTCGGTTGCTGAGAGATTTCAATGGCGGTTCTGTGGCGAGCCGAGAAGGGAAAAGATTCGCGAAACAGCTTGTGGATGAGCTTCTCGGGAACAAGATGATCTCTTGGCAATTGCTCGTAGATCTCGAAGCTGGCCTGCTGGCGACCTCGTTCTGCTCGCTGTTTGTTCATTATTAGGTTTTTTTTATATAAGTGAAATGCCGTTCAATGAAGGAATAATTCAAGCTAGAAAGTTGATCAAATGAACAAATTGAACTAAGAATTCTTACTTCCTTGAAGACGAGCTCTTCCCGCTGCCTTCCGGTGACCGGAAATGATCCGGTCCAGCGGTACAAGCCGGCGACTCTGGCCTCCTACTCAGGGACGAATCAGGCCGCGGCAGTGGTTGCGGCAAGGGTGATACAGACTGACGGTCCGAGTTCCCGGCAGTAGACCTTGCCTTGGCGATGAAATCCGGCGAATCCGGCGGCGAGTGTAGACGGCAGCGGTTTAGCGAGAAGATCTCTTGGTCGCTGGAATGGCGGACCTTTCTGGAAGAGAACAGACAGAGAAGTGAACAATAATAAGGAAAAGTAGACAAAACAAAAAATTAAAATTACGCGAAAAAGGAGTCGGAGTCGGAGTCGGAGTCGGACCTGGAGGAAGAGAGCGGGATTATGTCGGGCGACCCGAGTGGATGACCCGGCCCCAAATTAGAACCCGCAGACTGCTGCCTCCTGTGGAGACGACGATGAGGCAGCGGTAACGGTTGGGGCAGCGGAAACCGCCGACCCGAATGGTCCGACCCGTCGGCCGGAGGAGACGGCGGCTTCTCCAATGAATCCGGCGACACCAGTTGAGAATTCGAACGCCGTTCGGTCAAAATCTTGAGCTCATCGGCGCTGAGATGCCGCAGCTTCCTCTGCCTCGTAAGCCGCTTCTGGGTAAACGACCGTCCACGGTGCCGTAAAGAAATCCCGCCCCCGCCGCCAATCTGATTCCCGAAATCCGACGAAGAAACACGGTGGAATGAGTTGTGACGAGGGGGAACGGGGAGAGAATCGAAATTCAGCAGCGCCGGCGACGGCAATTCCTTCATACCCACTTCGCTCGACGACGAATTACCGAAATCCATAGAAGCGCAACCGCCTCTGCGTCTCCTCAATTGCTGCTGCTGCTTCGCATTCTTCCCCGGCGGCGACCGTCTGCGCCCAACTTCTTCCTCTTTACCTTCATCGTCGGCGTTCGAATTCTCCGAGGGGTCGAAACCCAAACCAAGATATTCCCTGGCCATGATTTCAGTCCGCTTGAAGCTCGCTCACTGGGTTTCGTTGGACTTTACTGCGAAAACCAGAGTTCATTTTGGTTCACAGTGGTGACTTTTGTAAAAATGAACGATGAGGTTGCTGAAAACCAGAGAGACGGTGTCAAAGGGTAAGGTTGGTTGACAAAATCAAATCTCCACCCTCTGCGACGTGTGCTTTGGGTGGGAAAAAAAGGTTGGGTCTTGGTCGTCTCTGAAGCTGATGCAGAGAGGCGGGCGCATTGCGGGGACTTCAGAGAACTTCCGGGGGAGGAGTATTTTTTCTTCTTCCCCCTTCTGTTTCTCTCTGGTATGAATCTCCGAGTCCGGCCTTTCTACAATCTACCAATTGCTACACGATAGTTTCCATCACAAAGCCATTGTTTTCGACCTTTGTCTTCTCAGAATTGTGCTTTGTCTTGTTCTTCCTTTTTTTTTTCTTTCTTCTTTTCTTAAGAAGATGCCTTGTTCTTCCTTGTAACATTAAGTTTGTAATGCTTATTTATTTATTTTTCTTATTGTGAAATCTAAGTTCGTAACGCTTATTTATTTATTTATTTATTTATTTTCCTTTTTAGTGAAATCCAAGTTCGTAATTTTTATTTATTATTTTTCTTTAAGTTCGTAACGTTTATTTATTGAAGAATTCTGTAACGTATCAAGAAAAACACACATAAATACAATGATAAAATATGGTTCATCCTTGCCGTGTGCAAGACCTAATCCATGAGAAGAGAGAGTTTCCATGGCTTTATTAATCTAATTGCTTGAGTAGCGATAAGTCTCGACTGTAGCGATTTTACCGAGTAGGAATTAGGGTAAACCTCCAGCAATAGAACAGACATGTCATAGAAGGACAAATCCCAATTGAATGGAGTAACAAGTAGCGAGTGTGAGAGGGCCACTAGCGGGAAAGAAGTGGCCCTGACTTATAGAAGACTTGAGTAGCATAAAACTCTCTAGGCAGCCGAAACATGAACAATTGTAGAGACATGGACAAAATGACTAAAGACATTGACTTGAGATGACTAAGAACGTATCCTCAAAAGAACATGCAACCTCAATTTCCAGAAAATATTTCGAGTGAACCAAAATCTTTGTACTGAAACGATGATGCAAAAAGTATTTTGACCTTGGTAATGAAATCCATGTGGTTACCAACAAGAATAACTACATAAGCCACAACTCTAGCAAATTTACCCAATAACGGTTAGGTTAAACCTCCATCCATAGAAATGTACTAATCACGGACATACACTGATACACATTACATGAAGGTCACACAAAAACTAACCCGCTCACAAACAAAATAAGAATCCATCTCAATCTGTTTATTACACTCGTCAAACATGGGATTAACCACAACCTGAAAGAAATACCATTAATATATATAATTTTCTAGAATTCATCTTGTTAGATTATCAAAGGTTGATAGTAGGAATACCTGGATTGTCGATTGATTGTCTGGTTCTTGATGCGGGATATTAAACGATCTACGACAGGACAATACTCTTAAGAGCACGACCCGGGAGGTACTGTGACCATCCTCAACTAGGCCTCCTTAGTCCACTACGGGGAACCTCTGATCTTCCTGATGGGGAGAATAAGATAGTTAATTTTTGGTCTTGGTGTATTAGGGACCACAACCTTTAATTGGTTCCTTATATACTAGTCACCATAGGCTCTCATAAAATCCTAGGTGGTTAGTATTGGGTTACCCATTTAGTTCCATATCAAAACAAGACATCTTTGGGCTCCTGATTTGGATCACTTTCAATTAGCCCACATAACCAAATAGCTTATATAATTGTAAAATATGTGGCCCAAATCCTTATAGGAAATAGAATTTCCTAATACAACCCACAATACGAAGAGCATCCTGATTGTCGCAATACAAGGTATGATGGAGTGTATGCGGACTATCAAGCTCACAAAGAAGCCACTGAAGCCAAATAATCTCACTCATAATTTATAGCCATCGCCATGTACACAACCTCGACAAATGAACAAGACATGACATGTTGCTTCTTAGCATGTCGGGAAACACATCCATGGACCAACCGAAAAATTGGCTTCGGTTGAGGGGTTTTGGAATTTTTTTTGGATTTGTTTGGTTTATATCAATAATTTTCTATTCTTTTACTACGATTTATGGATCGGTCCATAAGATAATTTGGTGGATTTTGGTTTATATTTTTTTTAGATTTATGGAAGGGGGAGGGGTTGTTTGTTTTGTGTTTGATTTTGAAATTCAAAATGGGCAATTCGGTAAATTATATATTAAGTTAGGACGATGGTTAGTAATTTTTAGGACGACCTTTAACCATTCAGTAAGATTCTGGCTAAGTAAGCCATTCTTTCATAGACGCATCAATGGTAGATCCGTTGGATAATTTGAATCAAGTATCATTATCCATATGGGCATTGGGTCGGATTCAATGAACTCATATACATTTTTAATGATATTGGGTATGTATTGGATCCTATTTAGGTCAATTCATTTGGGTTATACCAAAATTGGTCTAGATGATTGTATACCCAAAACATAACAAAAAATAACCCATTGTACACCTTTGATAAATGTGTTTTCATCTTTCAATTATTTTCATAACAAAAAATAAGACAAAAATCGCATTCTAATTGGCTACCCGTGTTCTTTTAGACTTTCAATACTGTAGGTCCAATTTGGATCCAATTTAAAATGTTGGGTATGAGTATGCTTCATAAGTACAATTACACAAACTTGATTAGAACCATAATAAATTAGTTTAATATCCAAACTTTGGTATCCATTTGTCATCCCTATTCCTTTATCATATTGAACACGAAATCAACATTGGAATTTCTTTTAGACATTTCATTAATTAAATGGATATAAAAATATAAATTTAGAGGTTGGCTGATAAATTTTTTCTCTCGTTTAGCGAGAGTCAAGAGCGGTGGAAACCCTAGGGTTTTTTCGCAGTAGTCTTGCTATTCAAAGAACGTCTGTGTCCTGATAGGAAAAGTGTTGGAGTTTAGAACGGGTTGATTTTCACGTTTATAAGAGCGCTGGCCTTGTCGATCTGGTGGTAGTCGACCTTTGATTGAGATCTCTTGCTAAACCATGGTGAGTATGGAGATTAAGAAGGAAGGTGCCCTTTCTGAAGAAGTAGTCCAACAGATCAACAATACAACTAGACTATTGAAGAGAGGCTGGATAGCATCACGCTGGCGGATGAAGATGACTCTCCTTTGGATGTAGAAGACGATAATGTCGATCTGGCCAGGATGGAGGCTGTGCGTCGCCTTGGACTGATAGGACGTCTGGTAGCATAAAAAAACCAAACGTCAAGTCCCTGAAAATTTCCAAACAAAGGCTTGGAGCCTGAAGAAAGGTTTCTAGATAATAGATCTAGGAGACATGCTTTTTGCTTTTCAGTGCCTAGATGTGGATGATCGATACAAGGTTTGCTACGGTGGCCCGTGGCATTATGAAAACAATGTGATGGTTTTTATGGCTAGCTTGCTAATCAAGAAACCGAGCCCAAAATTGTTACACATGATTGAATATGGATCCAGATTAAAGAACTCCTTGTTGAGTTCAGAACACAAAAGATGGCAGAGAAGATTGCGAACAGGTTCGGTTCCCAAGTCTGGTTCGATGATAGTACAAGCTTTATGTGGGATGACTACATGAGACTTAGGGTAAGCATATCCATCAACAACCCTCTAAAGAAGAAGCTCAAACTGAACATCGGGGGGAAGTTGGTGGAATACCGTGTGAAGTACGAGAAGCTCCAAATGTTTTGTTATTCATGTGGGTGTATGGTCATCCGAAATTGCGGTGTCCCAATCTGTCAAACTTGGAGGTGGATATTTTTGGTTTGGAGCTGAGGGCTAGTGATCCTGGACCACGTAATTGGCTGTCCTACACAACATAGAAGGAGGATGCTGAAGTCTGGGCATTCCTGCGGAAAATTTTTGATCTGGAAAGTGTTGGGTCAAATTCAGACTTTGAGGTGGCGCCTCCAGAGGAGGGATTACAACCTCCAGTTGTTTCGAGAAGTATAGGAAAAAACACAAAAGGCTTCATCTCAAGAATACAATAAGGGTGTGGAAACAATACCAAAGCCCATAATACAAGAAGCTAGGAAGGCTGCGTGACTTGATAAAACACAACTCCTAACAGTGGCCAAGTGTAACCAATGAAAGAGACTGCAGTATAGTGGTACAAGTAATAAATATCGAATCCACAGGTCTCTAGAGTTACTATTACTCAGCTTCATATAATTATCTAGCAAACCAGATTAAGAAAGAAGAACTATAACTACTCTAGCAAACTATAGTTAAAGTTAATCTAATTACAGGTTGGGAACTCACTTAGGTATGATTCCCCCTAGCCACTAGCCAGATTAATGGTTGATGAGCTCCAACCTGTTTCACTTTCATTCACAATCCGGAGAATCCTTGACTAGACCTTGAACTCGACTAAAGAAGTCAAGGCCCTCTTGAGTCGATTGTCTAGAGGGACGTATCCTTCTATAGAACAACCGATCAAGGCGTTCTGAACTAGATTCCCTCTATCGAATGAGATTCTCAATCGATACAAAGCAGTGAATCGATCCTCAACTATAGAAATTGATCCAATACTATCAATCTATGGTGCTCTATTGACCTAATCAGGTATTCACTCTCATAGGATCAAAGCAGAATCAATAATCTCGACTAAAGCATAATTGAATCATGAAAACATGCATAGATTGAATATGAACTCAAGATTATCAAGTAGGAGTACTCATACAATCATCCAATCAAACAAACATAGCTAGGGTTCCTCAAAACCTAAGTGAAGGGAAGTTACCCCATAGAGAAGATAGAGATTGTAGTATAACTTTCCAGATCTTCAATCTTCATGTTTGGGCTTGTTCCTTGAGCTTTCAAGGCAAAGAAATTCTCCAATTCCACTCCAAGATCGCCCTCTAATCACTCTCTCACTATAGGTTCGTCCCTTGGGTGTTTGGGATCCAAAACCCAGCTCTCACTCTCCAAAAATCGCAAAACAGCCTTATACCCGAAGTTGAAATTCACACCACCAGTATCCACGGTCGTGTAAAACAATGCACTGGCCGTGTAACTCCAAAACGCGGCGTGGCACCTAGTTGGTCGAGGGAAGTCACACGGCCATCACACGGTCGTGTAATCCGAGAACCTGGCCGTGTAGCTTCTCGCAAAGTTCATCACGCCCAAAGGGTGCCCTT